AGCCCCTTCCCAGCTCCCTCAGGAATTCTCCAGCCCCTTCCCAGCTCCCTCAGGAATTCTCCAGCCCCATCCCAGCTCCGTTCCCTTCCCTGGCCACGCTCCAGCCCCTCCAGGGCTGTCCAGAGCTGTCCCAGCACTGGGGGTGCCCCAGCACAGGGGACGGGCACTGCCCTGGCCCTGCTGCCACCCCAGAGCCGGAACATTCCGTGTCCCAGCTCGTGTTCCTCCAGCAGAAATGTGGAACTTTCCTCCAAAATCCCATCCAGGTATCAGAGAATGAAGAGTTTGTGTGCAAACACTGAGGCCAGCCCCGAGTGCTCGGGCACAGGAACGCTGGGCAGATGTGGGGCACAGGGATGTGCCCAGCTGCTCTCTGGGCCATAATCTGGGCAAAAATCAGATTTATTGATCCATGGATTGATCCATTTATTGATCCATGGATCAACCAGTGATGGTGTCAGCAAAGAGAGGGAGGAGCCAAAGGACACCAAAGACACAAACTGGGGGAATTAAAGGCCAGCTTGGACAGGGCTCAGAGCTCCCTGGGATAGCTGAAGATTCCCAATCCACAGATGGGCTCTAAAGGTCCCTCCAAGCGAGCCCTCCTGGGGTTCTGTGGATTCCAGAAGTCTGGAATGTGGGGTACAGCGCTCCACGGACAGCTCCAGAGCTCACTTCTCCCACCTTGGAGTGCCCAGAGCATTCCCATCCCCAAACCTTTCCATGGGCATCACCCCTGGGCTGAGCTCTGGGGTGGTTTTTGCTCCAGACCAGGCCCCACCTCAGTATCCCAATCCTGGAGAATCCAAGGATCTGCTGCGGAACGCTGGCCCCCTGCCCCGGGCCATCCAACCCCGCGTGTTTCATCCCTGCCCGCTGCTCCCTCCTCCACACCCGCCCTGTTTTCTGTCTGAAATCCGATCACAAACATCTCAGGGAAGGGACAACGTCTTGCTTTGAACTGTTGGGAGCCAAGGGGGGGGGAGAGAGAGAGAGGAAAAAAAAAACCCCAAAAAACCCAAAACAAATCCCAAAAAACCCAACCCGACTCCACCTCATTTAGCATTCACAAAACAAACAACGTGCAGCAACAAATATCACCTGAGCGAGGCACCAGCTGTCAACCTGCTCCTCTCCAGAAAATAAATTAATTAAAAGCAAAACCTGATGGTAATTTAATGATTCTCCAGCTGTTGTGGCATTACACAACCAGGCTGCCGAGGGCTTGTGAGGAGCCATAGCCTGACTTGCTCCTTGTTTTTCCCAAGTGCAGCTCCAGGCTCTGGTAGGAATCAGCCCAGGGATGTGCCCAGAGCTCTCCCACCTAATTCTGCCCTTCACCAAGGTGTCAAAATCCATCCAAAAAAACATTTTAGGTGCTCAAATCCATCTAAAAAATCTTTTCAGGCGCTCAAATCCATCCCAAAAACCTTCTTAGGTTCCAAAATCCATCCCCAAAGCCTTTCTAGATGCTCAAATCCATCTTCAAAACCTTCTTAGGTGCTCAAATCCATCCCAAAAACATTTTCAGGTGCTCAAATCCATCTAAAAAATCTTTTCAGGTGCTCAAATCCATCCCCAAAACCTTCTTAGGTCCTAAAATCCATCCCCAGAACCTTCTTAGGTCCCAAAATCCATCTCCAAAACCTTTTTAGGTGCTCAAATCCATCCCCAAAATCTTTTTAGGTGCTCAAATCCATCTCCAAAACCTTTTTAGGTGCTCAAATCCATCTCCAAAATCTTTTTAGGTGCTCAAATCCATCCCCAAAACCTTTTCAGGTCCCAAAATCCATCTCCAAAATCTTTTTAGGTGCTCAAATCCAGCCCCAAAACCTTCATGGGTCCTAAAATCCACCCCCCCAAAGCCTTCTTAGGTCCTAAAATCCATCCAAAAAACCTTTTCAGGTGCTCAAATCCATCCCCAAAACCTTCTTAGCTCCCAAAATCCATCCAAAAAACCTTTTCAGGTGCTCAAATCCATGCCCAAGCCCTCCCTGCCACTGTGCACGAGCACTCCAAAGGAATGTGGGGATTTCTAAGGTGGATTTTGTCCTGGAGTTCTGCTTTTTGTCCTGGCCCAGTCTCAGGAGGCTCGGGATGAGCAGCTCCTGATCCATGCTGGGCACATCCAGCACACCTGGATCATAAATCCCAGCTTTTTCCTGGAGTCAGGTTCAGCATCAGCTTCAGTCTACAAGGAATTTGATAATTTAGGAGACAATTTAGTAATGGAAACTATGAACCAACATCTCCCTGTCAGGGCTTCCCAAAACTCCCAAAAGCTGTTTCCCTCAGGAAAGGGAAGGATCCCGAGGCAGAAATCAGGGATCTAGAGGTGAGACCCAGAAAAAGAAGGATTAATACAGGTTTCATCAAACCAAGAGATAAAATCACGTGATGCCTGAAGTTACTAAGTGATAAATTCAGAGCAGGGAGCAGTGACTTCCCTTTGAGGCCCTCTCCAAGGCCTGAACTTGGTGATTCTCAGGATCCTGGAGTTCTCCAGCTCCTCTCCACCACAGAAAAACCAAGGAAAAGGGATTTTTCACCACTGAGGGGATGGGACTAAAGGGATTTATTAAATTCTGCTGGACCTTGTCTCTCCAGAGCTCCACAAGGAGCACAAACCCCCCTGCTCACCTCCATCCTCACCAACCCCAGCACTGACGCCTTGGGGCGAAGCCACTCATTAAGCTGGAGTAGATTCATTAAATAATGCATTGCATTAATTAAACAATTGCATTGTGGAGCTGATTTTAAACCAAAAGGGGTTTTTTTTAACCATTTCTTTAAGCGATGAACGTGTGGCACTCTCAGAGGCGGGAGCAGAGCAAGGCCGAGGGTGGACACTCCCACCAAACACCTCACACAGTTTCAAGGAACATCCACTGGAAATTAATGAGAAATTAATTGGAAATTAATGAGAAACTAATGAGTCATTAATGCATCGCTGAACTCGCAGGAGCTGCCGTTTCCCCACTGTTTTGTGGTGGCCTCCAGGACTTGCTGGGCCCTGCGGGAGCGGCTCCTCAGGAGCAGGAGGGCTCGGGCCCAATGAAGAGCAGATTTTGGAGGTTTCTGCAGGATTTTGGAGGTTTCTGCTGGATTTTGGAGGTTTCTGCAGGATTTTGGAGGTTTCTGCAGGATTTTGGAGGTTTCTGTATGATTCTGGAGGTTTCTGCAGGATTTTGGAGGTTTCTGTATGATTTTGGAGGTTTCTGCTGGATTTTGGAGGTTTCTGCAGGATTTTGGAGGTTTCTGCAGGATTTTGGAGGTTTCTGCATGATTCTGGAGGTTTCTGCAGGATTTTGGAGGTTTCTGTATGATTTTGGAGGTTTCTGCTGGATTTTGGAGGTTTCTGCAGGATTTTGGAGGTTTCTGCTGAGGCTGCACCGAGCCCAGGCAGAGCTGGGTTCATCCCCTCATCCTCCAGCTCCAGAGCCTGCTCATCCTCCTGCAGGCTTCCCTTCAGGACAGAGAAGACAGGAACCCATCCCACACCTGGCTGCACTTCCAGTGTCCCCCAGCACGGCCGTGTCCCACCCCATTCCACAGAATTCCAGAATTCCAGACTGGTTTGGGTGGGGAAAACACCTGAAAGATCATCTCATCCCACCCCATTCCATGGCAGGGACAGCTCCCATTATCCCAGCTGGATCCAATCCCAATGTCCAACCTGGCCTTGGGCATTCCCAGGGATCCAGGGGCAGCGACGGGAAATCTGGGAATTGCAGCCCAGGCAGGAATTCCTTGCCAAGATCCCAGCCCAATCTCCCCTTTCCCAGTGGAAGCCATTCCCTGGCTCCTGTCCCTGCAGCCCTTGGCCCCAGTCCCTCTCCAGCTCTCCTGGAGCCCCTGCAGGGACTCTCAGCATTCCCTGCATTTTGCCCTTCTCCAGGGGAACATTCCCAGCTCTCCCAGCCTGGCTCCAGAGCAGAGGGGCTCCAGCCCTGGAGCAGCTCCGGGGCCTCCTCTGGATTTATTCCAGCAGCTCCTCATTCCTCTGGGGAATTTTCCCCACCAGCTCCTCGGGATCACCACAGGATGGTGGAGCTCCCCAGGTCCTGGGGGTCAGGGAAGCACAGGAACCAAAATTCCTGATCCCCACGGGACAAATTCCCTTGTCCCACGGGGACAAGGCCCAGACCGCATCTCCATCCCTGTTTCACCGGCACCTTTGAGGAAGGTGAAGCACCCGGAGCACCTTCATCACAATCTCCGGAAGTTAAAATTACTTCGGAATCACTTCCAGGGAAAAAAGGTGTTTTCCACAGGCAGGGGAAGCAGAAGTGATGGGAGCTGGGCTGGGAATGCCACAGGGAAGCCCTGACTCCCATCCTTGGCTGGATTCTCCTCAGCCTCGGAAGGTTCCGGATGCCACCTCCTCCCTCCAACCCAACAGCTGAACTGCAGCACAAGGGAAGGAGCAGCAAAGGCCTTTGGAACCATTCCCAAAAAACCAAAAATTTAAAAAAAAATAAATCAGAGAATCCTATTCACATTTTAGCAGTTTCCAAAAAATTTATGGCGCAGGGACCTGCCAACGTGACCAAAGCCAT